ACAAGAGGCCTCCTAACTAGGGCATGTGTGAAGTATGATATTTAATTAGGAGCAATCAGATTCACAACTTTAGAATGAGGAATGGTTGTTTATATTTCTTCCATGTATCTGAAGGTGGTGGATCAAAATCAAACATGTATCAATATTATCATATTACTGTAAAAAAAAAAGTATGCATAAATCTATGAGTATGAATATATTCTTTGCAGGAAATATGAAATGTTCCTTCATGTATCAACACCAGCAACACTGTTGTTTCTGTAAGTGCACTATGGCCATGCGGTGGGCACAAGTAACAGGAGTGTTCAAAGGCCTAGAAAACCTGAAAGCTTTAAGGAGAGCATTGAAAAATTAAGTTTAGAGAGCAAAAGTTAGTAGGTACACAGGTAGGTGTGATAATAAATCCTGGATATGTAAAAGGTTCCTGCAAAATAAAAAAAAAAAAAAGTGTCTTTTTCATACTAGTTTACAGTTCAAACAACAATCAATGGGCTCAGATTACAAGGCCATTTAAATTGGAAACAAAATTTTCTAATGTATCTTGTGGAACAGGTTATCCAGGAGGTCATAGAATCTCATTTTTTGAAGGTGTCTGAGTACAATCATCTGGAAATGATAGCTTTCCTAACTAAAGCCTGTGGAGTACCCAGAGTGGTCTGGCATCCTTTTGGCCATTTTATCGATGACTACACATAAGCTCTTACCTCCAAGCCTGCAGAATTGAAGAATATTCAATTTTACAGAGTTAAGCTTGAGAACCCATAGAAATTGTGTTGTTTATTGAAGTGGTATAGATGTCCAATCATAGTCTGTGACTCTACTACATAAGCCTTGAAGAAAATTTTTTGTGCTCTCAAAGAAGTCCTTTTCAATAGATGGTGAAAACACTATAGTTTTAAGCTTCAGACTGCTTGTCTCAATTTCTTTTTTTTTATACATTCTTGTTGAATTTAATAATGACTCAAGAATAAGCACATACATATTTTCACCTTTGTATCAAAGACATTTGATTTAAATCCAGTCTATTTCAAAGTTCTGAAAAGTCCTTATGACTTCTGCTTGTTGATCCATGAGAGGTGAGTCCATGTGAGTGCTCTCATACTGACCTTTGAAATTTGTGTCTACAGCAGTGACATCTATGGAAAGATTCCTATTGCCTTCAGTAGATTTCTATCAAATTTATGAAATAATCTCCCTCTGAGAAAATCTGTAATTAATACTGAATAATTTGAAATCTAGGCAAAAGCAAGTTCTGTGTTTGTAACTAACGTGTAGCTCCAATGAAGTCTTTGGAGTGTACAGAGAGTAGCAGGGTAGCTAAGTACCAAATTAGGTCCCAGTTACCCAAGAGTTAATAGATCAAGAGTATTCAATTAATTTAAATGAAAAACAGCCATTAAAATTTCCCCTTCTCCCCTCAAAATACTGCAGAAATTAGAATATGCAAAAATGTCACTGAAAATTTTATATTTTTCAACTTCCAAATACAGAAAACACAGTGGGAATAAATCCAGGAACACAGGTGATGAGATCAAACTGATAACAGTTCTGAAGAATTCAGCTACATTTTGCTCCAGTTAAATAGTGTAACTAGGTATAATCAAGCTAGTTAGTTTGAATATAATGTAAATGTATCCATCACTGAAGTGCAAGACACATAAAATGGGTTAATTCAGTGCAAGTTTCTTATTTAAGCACTTCTATTCTTCAGTTGTAAGTGTAAAACATCAATTCAAATGGTCTAATATGATGTTATTGTTACAATGATAACATGATGAAATATAACCCAGTTTAATCCATTTCAACATGGAAATTAATAATGGCACATTTTATGCCAGTATCTTTTTTTCTTTTTAATTTATTTTAACTGTTCTTAGAAGTTAATCCAGTCTAGTTGTTTTACTGATGCCATGGTTTGGGTTACAGCAATTAATTTCTGTAGAAAGATTTAACTAAATTCTTCTCATCACTTTCTGGCATGGAAAATACAGAAAAACATGTCACCCATGTAAGAAGAAGTGAGCGTTGTAGCAGTGTTCACACAACATTCTTACCCTCTAATAGTTTGTCATCCACATAACTTAAGGTATTCCACATAAGTCTATTTGATTTTGAGCACAAATACTTCAGAACATGTCCCAAGGGAGAGAAATATTAAAGACCGCTGCTCTGTATTAATGCTTCCACAGAAAATCAAGAAAGCAACTTTGGCTTTTATTTGCTGTGAAAATGAGCAACATTTTAAGAGCAATACAAGCATAATGTGCCTTGGCTGGTATGGACTCACTGATCTGCCTGTATCAATGGCTTGACACTGGTATATATGATCTGGCTATCAAGACCTAACTAATGAGCTCTCACAACTTTTCTTGATATTAGAGTATAATTCTCTTCATCTTACATATGGAAAATGATATATGGTTCCCTTGCAGCAGTAGAAAATTTAGCCTTGGGTCATGGGTCTTAACTGACTCTTCCCTCATATTTTCTGGGTCTTCCTAGATTACAGAGTTCCCCTAAATTATAGCTCCTCTTATTTCCTTCTGAGCACCTTGTGCTAATTCTCAAGCTAACATTACATATTAGTAACTAATGGAAGTTGTGTTTAGAGTTTTAATTTAAATAATTGACCATATCTTTTCTGTTTGGCAGTAGTTAAACAGCTCTAGATACCAGAGGGGCCTTTGCTGCTGCTGAGTTGGACAGTACTGATGATAGAGTGAGCTGATTTTGATAACTGTTGTTTTTACCCCATCACAGGTAGCAGGCTTGGAATGCTGTATGTAACTGTGCATTCACTCTGCTCAAGTCTGGGTTTCAAGCCTGAGAGATGATTAGTGAAGAGTTCTTCTCACACACATGTAAAACACTCAATGGATATTCAGATCTTTCACAGCATAGGTGAAGTTGTTTTCTTAGTTTATATATGCAACACCATCCTTAGGGCTGATGATTTTTCACACTGCAATTAAAAATCTTACCATGAAAATCCTACAGCATAAGGCTTTATCAGCACTTTGGGTTTTTTTTTTTAAATAATACATGATCGTTTGTGTCCATCAACACATACATTTGCATTTTGATAGCAATATTTAAACAAAATAATCCTCCTCTTTTATCTCTTTACAGGTTTGGACAAGAAACTTTTTCTTAAATATAATTTCTAGTTTAATATGGTCCATTTTCTGAAGGGCTTTATTAGATCCTAGACCTACTGTTGCTCATCTTGCAGTTCTCACTGAAGGCTTTGTCGTGTCCAAGAACTATAGACCTCATAGCTGTGTCCAACCTCATGCTTCTTACTAAGTAAACAAAAAGCCCCTCATCACTGGAATTCATATATCTTTATATCAAAATTTATATAGCTTATATAAGTGTAGAATTTTATATATATTTTAAAAATCATCTAGGAAAGGCTGCCTCTCCTTTCTTGACAATAAAAGGTCTTTCATGTTAAATTGCTGAGTTCAATATTCTTTCTCTTCTTCACATGCATAAACTATGTAATTGGTTTGATTTCCAATAAAAATCAGCTATTACTTTTTCATGCTTGATTCACAGCCACATCCCAGCTAACATCAAAATGTCTACTTATGGTCACAGAACAAGTAACATGCTCAGTCCTGAGTTGCATAGACCAGTCCAAAGGCCATAGAGAATGGCTTTTGGATCATATATAAAGCAGACTTTTTCAAAAAAATTTACAGTGGAAAGACTTTCTCCTCACCTCCTCTGCACACTGAAGTCTACATGTTTCCACAGTCTGAACAGACTACATTCAGTTTTCAGGGACAGAAAATCAGCATTTCCAGAAAAGGCACTGAATAGCAAGCTATACTGTTGGAATCAACTGATATGTGGTTACCACAAGGAATCTTTAAGTAAATGAAAAAACATATGGAATTTCCAGTACTACCATGCTCAGACAAAAAGCATAAAACATAATTAGGAGGAAATAATTGCAGATTCTTTTTTTCTAAGCAGGTAGCAACTCATCAATTGTTTTTGAGCTGATCTATTTGTCACATTACATGTGGACTTGGTCTAGGATGTTCTTTACAATTTCTCAGCACTTTTGCCTCTCTTGTAATTTCCCCATTGGTAGACCCTTATTGATCACTGAGTGAGATGGGCTATTGCTCTGGACTACTACTACTTTAATATCAGGAGAAATGTTGGAGACTGGCATACTATCTGGATAAACCGTTTAGAAGTTATATGGTTGGAGCCATATTTATCCTATATTTAGACTCAATGCCAAAACAACATACCCATTTAGTTACGCTAGTAATAACTGAAAAGGGATCTCTAAAGTCACTGTGTAAATTGTAATAATTTCTATTACTCCCATATCAGTACCCTCTTGGGCAGAAAACATATACATGAAAAGCTCTGTCTCCCATTACTGGTCCCTTGAGCCACCCAGTATCCCAGACAGAGTTTGTTTTAAAGAAGAAAAAAAAAATCATATTTATTACAGAGCAAAATTTCTCTGATATCTGAAAGACAAAGATAATGTGGCCATTACGCTTAGTCTTTACTATATCCCAAACTGTCAACACACTTGCCAAAAAGTTAATTTATCAGCTTAGTGCAGCCAAGAGATTTAGTTTATCTGAATATCATACAAGGAATAAATAGTTTACCGCTGGTTTTGAAGATTGGGGTAAATCTAACATTCTATTGACATATGCTATAGATTTAATTTAATGCTGTGGTTCAGATGTCTCTTCTGATACATTTTAGTAAAATCTATGCTGAGAAGAATGGAGCTGTTTCAGTACTTATGGGGTTTAAAATGTAGAGTTAGCAAAGGAAACATGTTAATTGAAACAATGTTTGTGTATACTGTTGCAATAGTTTAGAGAATAATTTTGCTAATTTGTTGGTCAGTTTATTCTGAATATTAGAAGGTTAACATTTTTCAGGTTTATTGTCTTTTCTATAGTGAGAAAATCCTCTAATGACATGATTAAATAGCTCAATTTTTATTTTTTTAGGCATACTGGAGATAACATCTGTAGAAATTGGAGTTGTGGCAGTCAAGTCCATTAAGAGCAACTATTATTTAGCCATGAACAAGAAAGGAAAAGTCTATGGTTCTGTAAGTATTTTTTACTTTCCAAATGGATTGCAGTAGTCATCATAGTTTCCTCTCTTATCCTATTGAAAACCTCACTTCTCTGTGTATTATTACTAATTAAAGCTGAAATGAGCTGTTCACCAAAATTTCATCCTTTGGTAAACCAGCAGCTCCACTCTCCACAAACTTCCTGTTGTTTGTAAAACTCATATCATACCAAAGAAACTGCTGGGAGGTTTATCATACTGCTTCAGCCAGGTTTCTTACTAAATACTGGCCAATGGAGAGGGTCCTACAATATGTATCCTTTAAGGCTGTTTTTCTCATTTTTTCTGCAATACAGTCATATTTAGCTGTAATTTGAGGGGGGATAAAGTGTACCTGAAATCTTGGAAACTTCGGCTGATGGAACAGACACATTGAATTATCAAACTGTGACCTCAAATAAGATTTCTAGAATAGCCAGCTTTAACATGACTGTATTAATTAATACACAAGATTACTGGCAGTACACAGAGACTTAGACTTGTATATCAGCAGATTGATAAGCTTTAACTGAGCAGAATTTGGGTATCATTTGAAAATTGTCCGTATGTGGTCTGTTTGTACAAGGCTGGAGTTACTGATACTTTCAGGGGAAAAAAAAAATCAACCAAAAAAAACCCAACCCAACAAAACCCGGTAACTATCCAAATATTTTAATAGGAAGCAATATGATCTATAAATCTGTCTACTAAACTCAAGTTTACCCTCACACATCCATATGATTACACAAACACCAGATTGTTCTGGTATTACATCTGGTTTCATTTGTAATTTTGCAACATTTTGCCAGTTCCAGTGAGTGTGAGCCCACATAAATGTAAATTTATTTAAGTAATCTGCAAAGGTTATTAGCCAATCTTCAGATTGCTCAGTATTGAGAACATCTATAGGCTTAAAACAGAGCAGGTCACAGATAGGTACTGGGACTGGGTTTATCCTCAGGCAACATAGCTAAGTCTCCTAACTTTGCTGAAAATATTGAAGTAATGCCAGTTCCAACTGAGACTCAAGGGGTTTGAAGTCATTTGGCCCTCTTTTTTTAAGGAAGCATTTCTATGGGGTGGATTTATTTCATACAAATTGTATAAATTATATTCCCCCATCTGCACTGTGGCTAGTCATTCCTGGTTCAAAAGATTACTTCTGACATTCTAAACTCCTGGACCGTGTTGAAGAATCACATTAAGGAAACACCAGAACAGGGAAATGTTTCTGAAACTCCTGTAAATGTAGATTTTAATTTCTAGAATTACACTGATCAGAAATACAGGATGATCAGTGCTCAGTCCTGCACCACTGAGAGGTTAAGGTATACTGAGTTGCTGACAAAGTTACCACTTCTCAGTGAGATACACTCATTGGTCAGGAGTATGCTTCTGTGTGTATGTGAAGGTGTTAGCATAAATCACCATCTTCAGCTCACACATCTCAGTTTACAGTGTTTAATTTAGACATTTGAGACAATCTGCCCCAAAGCCTCAGATAAGTTTTCCTACCCAAGCTGTTAGCTGCAGCTGGTGTGGTGAGAGTCTATCCCAACCCTATATACACACAAAAGAAGTTAAAACGGCTTTCAAGTACCATAGGTGGAAACTGCTGCCATAAGATTCAGTAATTCATAGTGTATTAGAAATGGTGTTGACAGGAGGATACAAATGTGGAAAGCATTTTTTTTAATTCCAGCTGAGATAATTTCTCAATATTCACATCATAAAATCACAGCATAATGACTTATCAAAACCTATTTCATAATACTTCAGAGATTTCAAGAATGCTTCTGTTATTATTTTTCCCATCCTCCCAAGACTTGCAGTTAGACTCATATTACTACAGTGTGGCAGCTTGCAGATGGATATGAAAAACAGAACCAATAAAAATTTTAAAAACACTCTTAAACATGTGCACAATAGACATTGGTACAGGGTTATGTTGAAATTTGTTTGAAATGAGCAAAGCAGTCCTGGGCTAACACTCAGACCCCTCCCAGTAAGACTTCATAACCACATCACAACATCATCTGTTCTTTTTCTATTATCTAAGAATAGAGATAAAAGTTTGGATTTGAGTACAATTCTGCATCTGGGAAAACAAGTTAAGTAAGACTGTTTCTATGTTTATCAAATACTTTTCCATTTGACTGACTTTGGTTAGAATGAGGAAGAAAAAGAAGACTCACCATTTGCTTTCTTTAACAAAATAAGCTGATGGTAGATAGGAGAAGTTACAGCGGTTTAGAACTGTGATTGATGGCCACCTGCCTTCTTAACACCTTGATGCGAGAAGTGGCATATTACGGTAAATAAATATTAAAAGATCTATATGTAGCTTTGTGAATACAGGGAATATCAAGGGTCATTTTGTACAGTCGTCTCTTGATAGTCTCTTCCCCACCAGCCTTTTTTCAAGTAACTTCTAATCCCAAAATCAAAGAGTATTTTGATAGCCGAACTGAGTTTAAATATGTGAAATTCTGTTAAGAAAACATAAGCATGTGTCCTGCAGTCTCAGCAGCAACTAAGTAAAACATTAATTATAGACCCAAAATTTCTTACTGTATCAAAGTACTGAACATTAACTAGTTTAAAAATTCTAATTTAAATTAATAGGAATGGAAACATATTATTTTTATATTCTTATGTCCTTTTTTATTAATGTGGATACTTTCTATATCCTTATTACCAGAACAGCTAAGGATTTTAATAATTATAAAAGATAAAACATCCCTGAAATTTGTATCTGTACCATGAAAATAATTTCATTATTCAGACATATTTCTTGTCTTGTTCATAGACACATTGAAAATACCACATGTAGTTAGTACACCATAGTCTGAGATTCTGACATACTTCTGCCTGAGCTATGAAATAACATCTCCTTTTCTGAAACACAGAAACAACAACATGCTGATTTTTTGTTGTAAATTATATAAGTTGTAAATGTCCCACTTTCAAAAGCCTTCTAAATGGAATGTAAGTAACTTGATAAAACTGGGGGGTTTTATATGTAGGAATTACTTGTTTGTGAAAACAAAACATTCTTGGCTTCATTATAGAGAAGAAGATCTGTGTAAAAGTGTATTTAACATTACAGAAAAAAACAGTCTCCAGCTACATGCTCCCACATGCTTCTGTTTTTTATTCTTTCTGACAAACTGAAAACTGGTTCTCTTTTAGAAACAGAAAACCTTAATCCCTGGTACCAAACACAAAATTGCTTTCAAGTTTATTTAGTCAGATACAGGATCATACATGATTCTTTTTTAGGCTAAGCCCCTCTTCAGGTCAACAAAGTAAACAGGTCCCACATCTATTGTAACAGCAGCATAATAGTGACTTGCACCCACCCAAAAGAGCCCTTTTCCATGGCCAGTGTTGTGTAAAGGATCTTCCTTTAAATAAGTAGGCCTATAGCATACATATTTGTTTAACACATGGTATCAATAATCTAGTTCAAGATATTTAAGGGTTATATTTGTTAAAACTGAAATATGATGAATGATTCCAAGATTGCTACCTCATACTTCAATTTTATGACTGAGAATGTGATTTAATACTGTTGCCATATTCCAACACAGAGAAGTTTAATTTCAGCTGTGAGTGAATTATCTTTTCATGGCTATAATTATGCACTGAATACTTGATTATGTCTTTGGTTGGTTTCACTTTTTGCAGTCTAACTGATGTCGCTTTAAATACTGTGGAAGAGAGTGAAGCTTTTTATTAAATACACTATAAAATCCTAGACGGATATCATATACAGAACACTGAAGTCTTCCAAAACATTTCTAGAAACTATTTAACTTCAGTATGCTGCAACTCTGAAAGATTATGTTTATTCTAAATTTGTGTATTTGTTTTCTTCTTTTAACAGAAGGAGTTTAACAGTGATTGCAAATTGAAGGAAAGGATAGAAGAAAATGGATATAACACATATGCATCCTTAAATTGGAAGCACAATGGAAGGCAAATGTTTGTGGCCCTGAATGGAAGGGGAGCCACAAAGAGAGGACAGAAAACAAGAAGAAAAAACACTTCAGCTCACTTTCTTCCAATGGTAGTAATGTCATAGACAAAGGAACTATTTTATTGATGCAGTTGAACCAAAGGCTCTTACGTCAAGAATATTCGGTAATCCTCTTAAAGAGTAAATGCAAATAATAGTGCACACATCTGCTTGTTTGAAAAGAGAGCAGAGGAAGCCTTTGAAGGTTTTGTACTTATTGCTGGCACAAGAAATACTTTTATTTAGTTTGGTGTCATATCTTATAATCAAGATATAAGCTGGATCAAATGGGATGGAAGTTATTGCCAGTGTGAACTTTTTTTTTTTTTTTTTTTATCTCTGCAACACAACATAGGGGATATGAGACAATCTGTTGAATGATCTTCATGGGGAAAGTTATTTATGGAATACTAACTCATATCAAAGACCTTAATTGCTCGTTCAAGCCTAATGATACAATGAACAGTTAGACACACAAGCATTTACTGGAAGCACTTGGGTCATATGCACAAATAATGACATTTCTGGAGAAGCCTTGTGGAAGAATGGGTAGAATTAAGGAATATAAACAAAGTAGTGTAAAATTGTTCTAACAAAACGAATAGTATGGTTTGCTTGTATGTTCTAAATTCATTTCTTTTTATTTCTCTCTAAGTTATTTATTTAATAGGATGTTAAATATCTTTTTGATTTGAAATGTTTTCCTCATTTCCTTCTTTGTTATTTTCCCTTTTTCTCACTAATTTACACAGAGGTTGATAGGTTAAAATGTCAAAACCTCAAAAGTATTCTGAGAATAGGTATTAGACAAGGCTATAAAGGCAGAATTTAATGTGTATAATCCATTTTTTTTCCTAAACTGTCTTGCACTTAAGCAAAAGACCAAACAAGCAGTGCTTGGATTTATGATATTGGGTGTCTTTATGTTGGACAATTTTTTTTACTTATCAGCACTCAAGAACAAACTTCAAGAAATACTTTGTTGAAGGGGTCTTTCTGCTATTTTGAAACTGAGAGAAGGAGCCACATCCATACTCGGTTGTCAGTGCATCTGTGTGTATATCCATTGGATTTTTATTTCAATTTGGAACTAAGATCTAATGCATTGCAATCAGTGTAATATTCTGCAACAAGCATTGGGCTGGAACCTAGATGTGGATAGCCTTGTTAAAGTCACTGAGATTGCAAATGTTAAAATTAAACAGCATGTAATTCCCAAGTGTAAAATTTGACCTCTGAAAGGTAAGTAAGAAGGCAACACAGTCCTGTACTCCTTATTCAATTAATACTCTCATTCAGCATGTTTGTTCTTGTTATCAACTTGTAGAATCACAGGCATATAGTGGGAGCAATACCTAAGTAAGGACTGAGAGAAAGGAGATCCAAAATCATGCTCATGCATTTATCAGAGATTATTACTCACATGTATATTATATATAAGAGACAACCAAGAAGCTGTGCTGGTATCCAGCTTTAGCATGCCTTCCATATCCAGCATAGTAACTGAAGGCTCAAAATACATAATATCCAGCACATTTTTATGAAGTGTTACTAGTCCCATGGCTTAACTTCAGCAAATACAGTATAATAAAGTTAAGCATAATATGAAGTCTGTTCAATTAAAGGTACATAAGGTTTGTTTTATGTTTTGCTTTATTCTGTAATTTTAGAGAGCTCTGGATAGCTCATCAGTGTAACCATATCAAGATTCATTTTGTTAGAGCAGATAAATAGAAAGCAGTAAATCAAACAATTTGTACCACTGTTTTCACATTGTATTCCACTAAATAAATAAATAAGCCTTTGCAGTGTCTTTAGTAAGAAACAAAAGTAGTATAATATTATTTTGCTCTAAATACTCTAAGTGATAACTATGAGATTATATTGATGCTGCAGTTTTATCTTCAATATTTCTTGTTGTGAAAAAGTTGGTTTTATTTTTATTGTTTGGAGACTGTATTTTGGTACAAAGGAGGCCTTCCTTAATGTGTCTTTTTGAGAATGTTTAACCTCTATAAAGGCTGGTGGTGTTGGAATCTTCTATAACTTATTTAAGTCAATGTTTAACCAGCACATCAATCTTAATCTGTTATTTAAATATTAGCTGTTTTTTAAAAAAAGCAAAAAATAATAGCTTTCCCATGAAACACAAAACGGTCAGATTTTATTTCTTGTCCTTAAATAAAGTGAACTGTTTTAAAACAGAAATTCACTTAGAGACAACATTTTAGCTGATAGCGGACATTATATTTCATGTAACTTTATCTCCAGGTTTCTTCTTCACAAGTGAGAATTTTCTAGAAAGGGAAATAAGAATTTCAGATTTTAAATGTAATTGTAGGTCTCAGAAAATCTAACTACCATGGTGAAAGCAGGTTTCTGTTGCTTAAATTTGTAACTGATAATTAAAACTGACACAACATAATGGACAACTCACAGTGAACATTCAGTGTAAGCTTGGACGAATACAATATTGGATGACTACTTAAAGAACATTTAAGGTACAAATGAAATTCTGTTTTGACAGAATTACCTAGATGACTTGATCAGAGAAGGGGATTATGTATAAATATTCTCATAGCACTTAAAACACCATGCTGCTCAGAGGGAAAAAAAACCAGGAAGTATCACTTTTCCAAAGTGAGTCAAGAGCCATTTGTGACATGAATTGTGGTTTCAGAAGATTAACCAAAATTTAAAAAACCTTGAAGGAATCAATTATTCCTGTGTGTTTGGTATACTGTAATACCCACTGCAGTGGGAGAAAACTGTGGACAGAGTATCACAGTTCCTCAACTATAAGCTCTGTTTTCTGTCACCCTCAGCATAAGACTCCTGAGCAAAAGGAAAACAGGGGAGGGGATTTTAAAAAGAAAAGGGAAACAATAATCACTGAGCAACAATGTATAATATGTTATATTTAAATAAAAATAATAAAATGTGGGGAATAGAGAATGAGTATTGTCTTTGTTTATTTTATTAACCTGAAATGATGCTGCACAATGAAAATGAAAAGGGAGAAGGTCCCTTGTACTACAGGATGTGGTTTGGTCCTGTATAGCCCCAAAACAAAACAAAAATCACTTGAACATTTGTAAGTTTCTTTAATTTTTTCATGTGTGAGTCAGCTATCTCCACACTAATAACAACCAAATGCTTTAAATTCTTCCTGTAAGTATTCAAATCCACCTAGTTTATACAGTGGAAAAAGCAATGAATATAAAGCAAGCACATCTGATGAAAGAATGAAGAGTTTTAGGAAGAAGAACATGAATTCACATTTTTAAAGTAAATTTCAGATATGGGAAAATAGTTACATCTTATATAAGACTTCATGTAAGACATTTCAGGTTATAAAGTTCACTGAAGGCTAGTAAGCATTAATAATATAAGAATACCAGTGTATGAGCAGAACTTTGTAATTCATGCCCCTGCTGAAACCTATTGTCTCTATTCACACAATTGATCATAACTGCTTCAAGGAGTGATCCTGAAACTAATTCATTAAGACAGCCCTTCTTTTGAAATATCGAGTATTATTATTTACTCTATCAAGTTAGACTGTAGGGCAGAATTAATCTTCCTAATTTCCTATTAAATTGGAGAAAGAAAAGTACAACACATAACACAAACACATCTTCTGCTGCAGCTAGTCAATGCATGATTACTGACGGAATTTTTCAGAAAAAGATCATTGACCGAAACAATTTTAGTGTAACTACAAGCAGCAGACACATGCAAAAGACACCGTTTCCCATCACATTACAAGCAAGAAATATAATATAAAAAACTAATTGGCTTTGGACCTATCAGATTATGATTTATAGTTATGCTTATCTGCTCAAATATTTGAACCTCATGTTTAACTACATGGAAGCTTTCTTGGAATAAGTTTAGGGATTTTCTAATGAAGCACGGTTAATCTCAGGTACCTGATTGTTGTCTTTTCACACAGTAATCCCAGAAAATAAAAAAATTAATATGGCCTTTGCTCACCCCAACAATGTAAAGAAAATATGCTTGTGTGAAAGGCAAAATAAAGGAACCATGACTAAGACTCAAGTAACTGATATGAGAGCACTGATGTCCAAGTTACTGCAGTATAAATGAGGAGAATTTACAATCCTGAAACTTCTCACCAGGACCTTTAGTGATGCCACTGTGTACTATTTCATTAATACAAAATTCTAACTCATGAAATTGAATAAATGGATATGCTGGCAGTGACATCAGAAACACATGTCTTATAAGACCTTTGCCAAATATAAAGGTATGAAAATCACAATATCTGATAAAAACACAGAAGGTACCCCGCTGCATAGTACTGTGCAAAATATTTACAACACTGGCAGCATATAGATAATGTACCACAGTGGAAGAATAGAGTCTATATTTACATCAAAGTTCAGACTCTGTATTTATCTTGCAATAACATAGTAAATGAAGAATCAAGACATTTCAGGTTCTTTATTGCTACTGAAATGTAAAGTGCATATACCTTTGTTGTAGCTATTCATACAAGCTCCAGATGTGCTATTTCACTATTAACTATGCTGTGGCTTGGTTTAAACTATGGTATATAGTTTTTTGATTATGAAACAGTTTACTAATGGCTTAATGAACTTTTAACCCTTTCATTTTTTAACAGTCTTCACAGAAGTCTAGGAAAAGGCCAAACACTGGTCTACACCAGAATTTGTATTTTTTTCCTAGCTTTAAATAGCTGAAATAACAGATTACATTCAATGCTGTACATGCAGAAACTTGCCTTATTCAATGAGGTGTGTCTGAGCAGGATAAAAATTGAATCTCTCCATTCCATTATTTTCTTGATGCCCAGCTACTTTGTACACTTTCTTGCATTAGAATTACTCTTGAAATCTCAATTCCCCATATTTCCAAAATGTACTTCACAAAATGGTATGAGCACTTTAGCGTTCTCTAGCGTTCTCTTTCATGTCTCTTTTTTTTTTTTTTTTTTTTTTTTTTTTTAACAAGTTGAGACAGCGCTTAGAAAAGGAACTGCCTTACCAGGACCCTTTACATACAATTTGACGTTCTTTACAGATTATACTGAAAAAATCCATTCAAGACAATTAAAATGTTTTGAGTGTGGTCTTCTAGTATCTGTATCAGTGGGCTTCAGATACAACTAACTACTTGAAAAAACTGTTTTATTTACACTCAACTGTAGAAGGACAAGTCCAGGAACAGCAGAATCTTGAAAAACAACTCAATAAACACATTCTATATGTTAGTGTCAATAGACAAGGACTTTTCAGGCAATATTTCTATATTATCACAATACAAAAATTAAGGTATTGAGTGTAAATAAAAATCACAACATAAGTATTATGTGAGTTACTTTAAACTTTAAAATTTGCACTAAAAATGTGAGCTCAAAAAAACATGTTCTTCATTTCATCTTTTTGAAAAATGTAATTTTCGGTTTACTCTTATACTGCTATGTGCAAGATATTTATTGTCAAGTTATGGTAATTTCCTATGATTTTTTTCCCTCCTTTTCACATGCCTCTAAATAGCAAGATTCATAAATGGTTCATGGAGGGAGCCTGCATGACTGACAACTGCAATATGCTGTCATTAATTTCAGAGACATAAGACTCTCATTTCTGGTTCCATGTAGAACATGACACAGAGATCCCATGATACGGTATTGTTTTGATAACCCTCAGGTCCCCTGAAACTACCTACATACTTCCTAGTAAATATGCAAATTAGGTTCAAAAGTTAAATATGCACTATGAGAATAGCTTGCCTATTATAACAACCACCATGCACAAAATACATTCCAAATAAAAACATATTTTTCTCCTTGGTTCACTCAAGGGAAGAGAAACAGAAGGAAAGATTATATTATTATTGTTATTTAGAATCTTCATTTTTTTCTTAATTGGTAGCCAATGCATCACCTATGCTGGTTTTGCAGTGATGAAATAGAGATATTGGCAATCCTGTAAAAGAAGGGTCAGCCTCTTTCTCTTCCTTATGGTCAGCCAATTTGGCTTACTGAGTGCTACTAATACAACATACGGTTTATGACGACTTAAATATAGATTAAGCTAAAAGATGCTAGTTTTGGAAGAAGAGATATGGCTCTGCTTATCCTATTAAATGAATATTATATTTCTTTGCCTGAGAGATGGGTAAGATTTAATTCATTCTGTTTTTAACTAACTGTTTCTTAAATACTCTGAGGTGAACTATATAGTGTGAGAGAAAATCTTGCTGATAGATGTGACCATTAAATTTCTATAGTAGTTGGGAGGTGCAGTGGGAAGGTAGAGTGTCAGGACAGCTAAAGTACCTCAACACAAAATCCTTCAGTAAGGTTCAACTTATATTCATACTGAAAGCCACCACTGAGTTGTAAATGACTGCCCAGGCCTCCAGATTGAGGAAGTCAAGCTATCCAGAAACAGTGGTAGGCCCCATGCTCCCCCGACTGCTCTAGGGTCTAAACCCTTATCCACATTACAGTCACAACAGTCTTGACTCTGATTACATGTACAGATGTAGAATGGGAGGTAAATTCTATTCACAGTCAGAAAATGACAGCTGCCATGTTTAAGTTACCTGTGGTAATCATGTCTTTCTTCCCCCTTCACACTTGTAATATTTTCCCTGGACTTCTTGTCTGAGTCCTGACACAAATATAGTTTTTCCTCATTGCACCTGAAATGTAATACAGCATGATGTTTCTAACACCATGTCCTATGTACACCAAGCACTAAAGATGAAAATTCCCTTGTGAAAAAAAATCAAGGGAAAACTGTCAGGTGGCACTTGCAAGCACAACAGTTGTTGAAAACTACCTGTGACATACAGAACCAGATGGAAGAGCAGACTACTCCTCAGCACTTATGTGACATTCTGATTGGTATTAAGCCTTACATACATTAAATTTTCCCAAAACTTGTCATTTATTTTGTCATAAAGGACTTCAATGAGCTTTGGACAGTTGTCTCAGTTTGTCCACTGAGGGCTATTAAGACACCTGGTTTTGGTCCAGGAAGTACTTGAGCTTGTTAGTGCTGGATTTTGGAAGTGTTCTTTAAAGAAATACTATGAAATTGCTTCATTCTTCTGCTCGTCCCTCTTGACACACTTTTATGCTGAACGTTGGACACAGAACACTATATAGTTTTAGTCTGGCAAAATAAGGCTGTTCTCATACTTTATTTGGCATGTCAGGAATTCCTTTTTAGCTTCTAAACTTCAAAAAAATGCCCACCTAGCCACTGCTCTTATGCAGATCAAAATATAAGCAGTATCGCAGTAGCCAAGCACGTCCAGGCCCACTCAGACTGAGGGCATGCACCTAAATTTGTGAAACACTGACATGGTATGTACAACATATGCCAGAAATCCAAGCCCTACTCTACTCTACATGTAATACCCCTGTCCAAGAATATAAAGATACTATGGCACTACATAAGAAATACTTAAACATTTCTGCCCAAGATATTTATATTAGATTACAGACTCAAACTGCAGTGAAAGAAGTATCCAGTAACAAATTCTGCAAAATAATCCTGGATTGATAATCCTAGAGTCTGAGCTCTTCTCAAAAGCTGCAATACTTGTGACCATCATATGACAACTTTTCAATACCATCCTGTACATCCACCCTCCTCTGACTTTGAGGTAGAACCACTACTACTGAGAAAGCTGTTCTATTTCTAGAACCATTAAATTAGTTAAGTTCTTCAAATGTGTTGATACCAGTCAAAACTGGTTGTGTTGCTTTTTGGTACATGTCCAGTTGAACTATTCTGTTATGTCGATAAATAAAATATCCTTACTTTCACCACAGGTATTTTAAGAACATTATCAAACTGAAGTAGGGGAAATTTAAATATTTGGGAAAATCTTCTTAACACTGAGCTCTCTGAAGTAAATTG